AAACTTTCAAGCATGTCCTAACTGCAGAACCAGCAAACTAAGTTACACCTTTGTTATTATTGATGTGTCATAATACACTTGTAAGAGGACTGTCAGTGTTGCCTGAAGATGTTACCAGTGTAGTTCTGTAGAAGAATATGGGCATAAGCTCGTTGACAATAACATTCAGCATCATCTGGACTCTTTTCCAAAGCTCTTGTCAGTTCCTGTGAAGAAATACAGAAAAACATGAAATGGCACTTCCGAAATCCCCACGAAGATATACTACCCAGCTCTGTCAAGTAAGATGTCAGAAAAAATATCCTGGACCAGCATGAGTGTTTACCTATTGATCAGTTTTCATCCAGAAAGCTTAAACATCAGAGCTTGAGGTACAAGGAACCTGCCAGTTACAGCCATTCCTCGCAGAGAGGGACTATCAATGCCTTAAATAGGAATTCTAATGCACAGGTGATCCTGTATGTTCCAAAAACCTTCCTATAATTTTCAGCACATCTGAGGAAAAAAATGCTTCACTGTGAGTGTGACATGCCTGGCTGTGATCCTGGGCAATGTGCTCCAGGTGACCCTGCTTGAAGCAGAGCTTTGTTTAGACTAAATGATCCCTAAGTGGTCCCTTCCAACCTCAACCATTCTGTGTTATGGTGATTTGTACACAGGTCTGATGGATTTGAGGAAGCACTGCAATACCAGGGATTTGAAATCAATATATGTCAGTCAATATGCCTGTGCAGGAATAACATGTTCAAAGCATTGTAATGTGATAAAATTATATGTTATAAAATATTATTGAGCATGGAGGTTGTTCTGAAGCATGCTGAGCAAGAAAAGTACAAGGACAAAAGACTTAGGCAGCATAGGGCTCACAGGATATGCTGTTGCACAACGGGAAAAGCATGAAGCAGTTCCTTGCTAGGAAAATCACTGGGTACGCAGACTGAAATAGTTATATTATACTCTGAGAGAAGTTTATTATTTTTGCATAACAGAATGAAAGCACAATGACTCAACGCACACACACTTGGATAGAATGTCTCCAGCTCTCCTACTAGCAGAGAGCAAAGCTCTTGTCTTAGCAAGAACATGGCAGATCTGAAGCTACTTCACCACGTCACCACAGTACAGTTACTATGTTTGCTAACTTCACTCAATTCACTATTCGGAATTTGGCAGGCATGAGGGTGGCTAAGATACAGACTTCAAGCCTGCATAAATGTTAGTACAACACAGCTGCTAGAACTCAATTTCACCAAGCCAGAGAAAAAAGGAAGAGTAGCAGGGCCTGTTTTAATTCAGACTGGTACCCTGCTTTCTTTCATTTATATGCTTACACCATCTAGGTGTAAGCCACATGGCCACAACAGCTTCTTCCAATGTACATAACACTTCCATCAGTGTCATGACAAGTGTACAAACCTCTGTGCAAGTACAGCACAAAAATCTAAAACCTCAGAGGTCTCTGAAGAAGCAGGAGGCAAAAGCAGGTACAATAAAAAGCAGTGTTAGATTAACTGTACAGACATGCCCCTAAATTTAAGAGCAGACATCATTAGGTAAATATTCATGGTATACAGACACTCTAGACAGGAGAAGCATGAGGAAACCCAACAGGATCATGTAACACTGGGAAGTGAAGTACAACTTTTGACCCTCAAAACTAAGCAGGAGTCTGACACTGAATACTACAGGTGCCTGGCAAGCAGAACACATTCTGTGACCAAACGTAACTTCCCATGCTCTGCTCTGAAAACAGGAACACTGATCAGGACCAGCAGTCAGTGCAGGAGCAGATTGTTTAAAGGAACAGCTGCAGAACTAGCCCTCACTCATGGAAAGCAAAGGCAAGCATTTTCAGCTGGGTGAACTTATGTTGGTTGGCTTTCTGTCAGTCAACCACCACATCTTGTTCAGATACTTCTCCTCAAAACAAATCATACAGCACAGAGACTTGAGAAGTCAGCCAAGGGGCAGCTGACTGGCACTAAGAATTCCAGATGGTGGACATCAACTGTGGCTACTTAGAAAAGCTCAGGCCCTGTCCTCCCAAAGACTCAAATAGATGCCTCCAAGTTACTTTCACTCCAGACCCTTACCGTGCAATCAAGTTACAAACACATTTGTAAATCCACAAGTATATGACTACAATACTGGTACGAATTAAAAGAGTTCTCAGCCTCCTGTCTCACTCCTGCCTGAATTTCAGGGGACCATCATCCTTTTGACAGAGCACCTCACCAAAACAAAGACACGAACGTTTGTTTCAGCAGGTACTTCTGATTCACCATTACTTACACTGCAGAGCATTATTCCCCACAGCTGAGTACTTCTTTAAGATGACAGAAGAAGCCATTAAGAAGTTCATGGCTTTATTACAGAATTATAAAAGAATCACAGAATGGCCTGGGTTGAAAAGGACCTCAAAGATCATCTAGTTTCAACCCCCTGCTATGTGCAGGGTTGCCAACCACCAGACCAGGCTGCCCAGAGTCACATCATTCACTGTTTAAACACAGATGATGACCTCCCAGTTGTATCAGACCCAGGAGCAGGAAACCAAAGCATGCACATCAGCAATTACAGGAATCACAAGTTGTGAGAACGCTGTGGGAATGCCATGCTGACTGGACACATGTCCTGTCAAGCGTGCAGGCAGGACACAGCACCACTTACAGGGTGCCAAGTCCCAGATTATGAACGTTAACTACATGAGCTGAAAGACCAGTTGCCCAAGGAGGTTGTGGATGCCCCATCCCTGCAGGCATTCAAGGCCAGGCTGGATGCGGCTCTGCGCAGCCTGGTCTGCTGGTTGGCGACCCTGCCCACAGAGGGGGGTTTTACTTCTGCTTTTCCTTCGTCAGCGCGAGCGCTGTGATTGAAGAGCCCCGTACTGAGCCAGGCCCCACACACAGGGCAGCCCTCCGCGAGGAAGGCGGCGATCCACCCCCCGCACACAGCGCTGCCGTGACAGCCCGCAGTCCCTCCCACAGCCCTCCGCCGTCCTCCGTCCCGCTTCTCACCCGCGCCGCCGCCGTCGGATCTCGGTCGATATCCGCGTCCGAGAACCTGCCGAAGAAACACAACGCCGTGAGGCGGCGAAGCGGAGACGCGCGGGTAAGGGAAGAAGGAACGCGGCGCTCACCGCGCTGCCGTTTCTGCGGCCGCCGCCATACCGCCCGCCGTCCCCAAGAAACTTCTGGAGCCGCCGCGGCGCCCGCGCAGCACGCCCCAAGGCCGCAGCCGCGCGCGCGTGGCCTGACGGGATGCGCCGGGACCAAGCGGCCCCGCAGGCTCCTCCCGCCCTCCGCGTGACGGGCCGGGGCGGCCATCGCTAGAGAGGCAAGCGCCCTTCCCGCCTCTTCCATAGAGTTGGAGGACCGTCGGGATAGAGCGGCGCAGAAGAGTGAGGGCGCCGCGGTGCGCATGCGCGGGCGCTGTGAGGGAGTTGGCTGCGCTGTGGCGGGCGGCGGTGCGTCGGGGTTTTGCTTGCAGCCCGCCGACTGAGCTAATAAAATCGTTTTGTTTTTTTTTTTTCCTTTGGATGATGTGAGGTTTCGCTGACCAAGCTGTAATTCGCGGTGTGTTTTTTCATGTATCTAACAAATAGACCAGCAAAACAACTTCCCCCCCCCTATCCTTCTCACTACACACACTGCCATCGAAACGTTAAGGTTGGAAAATACTACCGAGGTCATCTCGTCGACGTAATCCACCAACCACACCGTGCCCGCTGATCGCATCCCTCAGAGCCACAGCAGCACGGATCACCAACACCTCCGGGATGTGACTGCACGCCTCCCCGTGCAGCCCGTGCTGCTCGCTGCCTCACGGCCCTGAGCTGCAGTTCCTCCCAACCACCTGAGCCTGTCAGTTAAGCCTTACCACCCCAGGTATCCTCACCTCAGGCTTCCCAGAACTACAGAGGGCCTTATACTGCGGAGAAACGTCCCTATTTCTTAGCCCGATGAAAAGGCAAGCCTGCCTCTCCCAGTGATTTCGTCAGTCTGAAATAGAAAGTCCTCAGGATGAGAGCTGTGAGAGATGTACTTTGCAGTGCTTACTCATGTTCCAGTAACGGTGCCAGCAGGGCCCAGCTGCAGGGAGTGCTGCCAGACAAACCTCCAGCAGTCAGCTGGCGTCAGCCGCCAGTTTGGGTATGGCCGGCCTTCCCGAAAATGGGATTACGTCTGTGGGTTTGCAGGTCAAAACATAACCACATGGAAGGCAGGGGAAAGAGCAATGCATTTAACTAAGCGAGGCAGCTTCAACTGCCAAACAGGGCAGCTGTGGCTGAGAAGTGCTTGTGAGATAGTTTCAATTACTTCCATTCAACTAGACTCAGATCTGTCACCATTCAAGTCACCTCCACTGACAGAACATCAGTATTTAGTTTTTCCAGTACCAGTGTATTTAAAATTAACCCTATGAAACAACTGCTATGTCTCCTACGTACGTTTATAGAATGTTTCCTTTAATTTTTACACGCTACTCATCTCACCTTACTTATTTTTAATCCACCTCTGTTGAAATACAGCTAGGTTTCAAAGATAGTAGTTTGAGCCTACAGCCAATATACAAGGCATTAAGCTCTCTGAGCTAAATGACATCCCAAAATTACAATGAAAATTTGGGGCTGTTTGTAACGTATTAGGAAGCAACAGAAAAGGAGGAGTTTAAAGGCCACTTTTCAGACATAGCTCAGCTTTCATTTGAGCTCCAAAAGCACACAGCGCTGCTGTTTCAAAGGACACCATGTCATCACATGCCCACAGCACAGAGGGTGTGTTCAAGTCTGTGCAGAAGTGATTCATGAATTGCTCATTTGCTCATGTCCCACCACAGACGCACGTCGATTAATCACGTTGTCCTGTTTCTCAGTGTATTTTGGTTATACACATAATGATCATCAAAACACCGTAATAATCCAAAAACATTTCAGAATAAGTACAGAAAAAAATGTTTTTCCATTTGATTTATTTTCATAATAAACCAATTAAAAATACAAAAGACAAGAACCAAAGGTTCAGAGGGCTCCATCATTTAAAAATTTGTCTTTAAATACAAATTCACTCTGTAATATGAATACATATAATATTAAACCTCTAAACATAATGATCTTATTTTCTTCTATCAAAAATTTGTATGGAAACAAATTAGCTGAAAAAACTTCCTTATTGAATGTACATTATTTACAATCAAAAAGAACTCTTAGCAGTATTAATCTCAGAATATCTGCATAAATTGTATATATTTTTTCTCCCCCCTACAAAATAATCTGAAGTAGAAAGCAAGATTGTTAAGCTTCATAGTCACAAAATGGCATGAAACTTTTGCACCTGTAGTGATGCTGTTAGCTTCTGTAATTAAATATATCTATCTGATGTTTTCTTATAAAATATTGACATGGCATTGTCCATATAAATGTTTTGTGTACTCTCAATAGGAGTGTATATTCCGTTTTGCACACACAAGAGCTTGTGCTGCAAAAAAATGCAAGAGGAGATCTGGTTATCAACATGTAAAATTGATGTAATTCGCTGGTATGAAAGATATTCATAAACATTCATACACATGGAATGAAAACGTCCAATGAAAAGTAACTGTTGCTTCAAAAGCTAAGTGATACATGTACAGATTAAACAGGAAAAGGTTATAATAATCTTATTGCAATGTAAATCAGCAACAGACTGAAAACATACAGTAAGAAAGAAGTTTGGAACTTTGGCCAACAACCTCAAAATAATGTCTTCATAACATAAAAAGCATGTTTCTTCATGCCTGTATTTTGAAACATTAAGTAATACACAGTTTTATTTACGATAACATTTAGCAATTAACAGAAAATCAAAATCTGTTCTAAAGCATGAATTCTAACAATTAAATGCAGAAATTAAGTAGCTTTGTAAGTCTTGCTTTTGAATCAAATTATATATATATACAAAACTGAGAAGGTCCCATCACATTTATGAAAATAATCATCCACAGGGTCTTTTTTTTTTTTTTTTTTTTTAAACTTATTAATATGAACTGGGTTCCAATGGCTCATTTTCTTGCTTTGCTTGTATGTTAGATGGGAAACTATTTGAACTGGATACTACCATCACAAACGGCTGCTGTTGGAATCTCTGCTCTGACTGCTCAGGATCATCTAATTTGTCACCGTCATCTTCTTTTAGCACTCCTTGTACCCCAATCTGTTTAGCTTCTGTTGCTTTAATAACTGAAGTGATCACTGTGCCAGATGGATGAGCAACCACCTGTGAACTGCTGGGTGAAAAAGTTACCACTGGGGTGGTGGCAGTGAAGGATGGAGATGAAGCCACATTAACTGTTCCATTGCAAATTGTCTGCACGCTGCTGGTCAGAACCTGCTGAACTTGTGCTGGGCTCAGCACAATCGAGGAAGGAGGCGAAACTGGCTTCTGAGACTGTAGCATGACATTTTCTTTAAGAACTGTCATGGGCTGTGAAGTAGGAATGGCTTGTAAAATAAATTTTTGGGGCGTTGCTGCTGAGGCTGGATCTGTGCTGGCTATCACTGTAGTAAGAGGCACCGTCTGGAGTGTTACAGTATGCAGCTGCTGATTCCCAGGAGAAACAACCACTGGAACTTGGGTTGGAGTCTGTAAAGTCCTGGTAAGATTAGAAAAGATTACAGGGTCAGAACATGTCTGTGATGAGTTTTTAAGAATACAGATTAACTGTTGAAATATCACTTGGCATCAGTAACATTTCATTTATCTAAGGACTGCAAAAGGGAAGCAGTCATTTTCCTAATAAAAGAAAAAATGGATTTGACCCCTGAATTCACCGACACAATTGCCAAAGTGAAGGTATCTTGTATGTATGATACAACCATAACTGAATGAGCAGCCTGCCTTTGAGACAGCTGATAGGTCATGAGAAAACTTGGAAACTGTATCCAGGATCTCTTTCTCAAGCATCAACAAACATCACAAGCGTGATTCAGTATACCTCTGCCATTAATTTCACATAGTACCCAGCCCAAACTATCCATAAGTCAGCTCTCAATTCTCCTAACATCTTTGTGTGTGTTTACTTATATGCAGAATTATTTACACTCCAATGGTGATGCTAATCAGGATCTCCCCAGACTCCGAGGACACACAGCTCACTGCCTGCCAGACTCATGCACTGTTGGTAAAGCAGCTGCACAAAATTTGCTTCCAAAATATAAGTTTAAATTGGAAATCCTTCCATCAGTTTCAGGCTGACAGACCTGTGTGCCACATTACTTTCCGTATTTCTGCTGAGAGCAAAGTTAGATGATGAACAGCAAAATCATTGACGTATACAAACACTTCAATGGAAAAAGATGATTTAGAGACGTGGCTGAAACACACACACTTCAGTCATGCAACATACCTGGGTCTAAAAAAATCCAAAAAATATCTAAAAGCCACAACAAGCTCCCCGTGAAGCAAATAATTTCCAGTGAAGGGAGGGAATGAGGAAGCTAAGGGTATAATTGCTTTAAAATCCAACCACAACTTGTTCCAACCCACCATTCTGCCTTCAACAATATTTTTTTTCTTTCTTTCTGCTTGTCCTGCAAAGTTCCAACATTCCTGCTGCTCTTTAATGTTTTCTCCTGCATGTCCTCCTCCCCTTTAGTCTTAAGTGCTCATCTGTCTTTTCTGGAACATTCCTGACACAGATTGAAAGCAAAAATAACCATCTCCTAGCTTATTTCTACCTCTGCTGAAATCACTTTAGATTAAAAAACACACTTTCAACATTTGTACTTTCAATTCCATTAACAACATGCTATGCTGTAGATAAATGTCTACAAACATCATGGAATGTCCTCCTTTATGTAGTCCTGCCCATGTAGTGCCTGATTTTTTTTTACAGCTCTATGAAATTCTTCTGAAATTCACTGATCTATCAGATCAGGCCATGTGCATTCAGTTTAAAACAATGTTCTAACTATCACAATTCTAAACAAGAGCTCACCAGAACAGGTTGGACCTATGGGATGCTGAAACTACAGGCTGAGATAGCACTGCTTGAGATAGTACTGTTTGCTATTCCAGCTGCATGTGGAGCTGCACACTTCCTCAGTGCAGCAGCAGAGGCAAGTGAAGGAACATTTGCAGAGGACTTCCCATGTCCCTCTCAGTTCAGCCCTCTGGGAAAGGCTCCAAAGGGTGCACCCAGCAAGAGCAGCTCCAGTAACCCAGCTGGCAACAGGCTCGATGCACTTTATTCTTCCCTCAGCACCCTGCTGCAGACCAGCCTCTCCCCACCTCCTGTGTGGCTTCATAAATAAAAGAAATAAAATCTCTAACTGTAGCTTTCTCTTCCTCAATAAATGATGAGGAAGTTAGAAGTAGCCAGGACTGCTACTATAGCAAAGTAGCCCACAAGGCCCCCATGCAAATCTCATCACACAGACTATATACACGGGGCACAAAATTCAGTATTACTGACACTAGAGTGCAGAGGGGCAGTCAATAAGCCCAATCTTAAGCTCCTGTTTTGTACAACTGAAGACAAGCCAAAGAAGATGCTAATGAAAATGGGCTGGCTGGGAAATGAAGTACCAAAGTGATCACTTCTTTTTTTCCTATGTGGTTCCATGCAGCAACTGCATGCAACTGAACTTAAAACACAAGGCTCAGAACTACATCACTAAGGTTCACCATGTTTGCAGAGGGCTACAGTGCTAACTATTTTAATTAACTCCCTTGGAAGCATGACAGAAAAGAAAAAAAGAAATCAGAAATATCCATGTCAGAAGCAGTAACAGGAGGAGGGCACCCACTGGCTTCTTTAAACACTATGTAAACTACCAAAGTTATACAAGTTTGCATCAAAATCAAAATGTCACATAAATAAAAATCCATCAAGGTGTAGAGCCAGCAGCAATGCAGGTAGAACTGTTAAGAACTAGCATTTGCCATCAGAAAAACACTGAAAGTATTTGACTAAGACCATGGATACCATATCAGCTTTTTAGTCCATGATGCAACCTGAGCCTGAAGAAATAAGTACTCTTACAGTCAAATCAGCAGTTACAACTTTGAAAAGCAGCAGCTGATACTGAGAGCCTGTGCTGGTGTACCATGCAAGTAGTACTTTGGAGCTACTTCCTTGTAATTAAGCTGTTTTCTTTTGAAACAAAATAGTAGAAATAAAATAGTTGAAGTAAAAGAGTCCAACTGTTACATGATTGCAAAGGATGACCTCAAAAACAGGGAACTGGATCTAACCAATGCTGGGGGTATTCTGCAAAGCACTAGGAACAACAGCTCTGAAATGACAGAAACAAAGCATTTTCTCAGCATACTGCAATTATTTTGGTATTGATGCTAAACCATTCTTTTTTTTTTTTTTTTCTCATGACACTGTGTGCCATTTCATGCCGTACTGTGACTAATCATTTATTCCATATGGTTCCTTTTCTCCAGTATAGATGTTATATACACACACCCTTATAAACATGTATATGTACATATTCACACTAAGTTAGATGGAAAGCCTGCCATGGATGTGTCTACAAGTAGAGGACTATGTAGCATAGGGCACCATATATATACCCAGTCACTTACAATAAGGATAGCCAAGCTACTTATGAATTTCACTATCAAGTTGCTAATATCCTCCATATTCTAAGGTATAAGTGTAGGCCATTACTGTAGAAGTTCCTGCTGTGATTACAAAAAGAACAACAGCACTGCGACAGTGATGAAAATGAAATGCTGCCATAAAACAGCCTGGTTACTACTGAGGAAAAAAAAGACAAAAATTCTGAAGTCATTTTAGCTTGGCTGACAATGAGAATTTACCTCTTGGTTCATTTGGTACTGTTAACAGTCTAGAGTTGTGCAAGATCACATTAAATTATCAAGGGCTGAATAGTGAAAAAAACAAACACTATGGAAATGACAAGAAGGAAAAACAAGTTTATTCATGGTAATTTATGAAAAGAAATTATGAAATGGAGAAAGAAAGAAGATACGAAACAAAACTGAAGCTACAATCCAAGCTAAACAAAGTATATTACAGCAAAAAAATGAAACAAGGCAACATTAAGAAATGCACATAAGAAGTAAGAGAAAAATTCCCTTCCTAGCATACATATTACTCAATGTATGGATGGATAGAGGGGAAGTGATGGCCTTGAGATAAATGGGCCAATTTCCAGGGACTTTCCTCATTTGTTCAACTCACTGGTTACAAACAACTCATTCAATCAGCCTAGGAAGAGGAGGGAGGCAAAGGGGTGCGGTGTGCTTGTTAGAACCACTTCAAGTGCCTGAGCCAAGAGGCTCTTCTACGTGAACATAGGAAATCTTGGCCAAATCAATTCAGGAGCACTACCTTCACTGCAAACCTTTCTGCAGCTGCACTCAGTTCTGTGATACTCAAAGAGCCTTATAAATACCTCATCCCATCACAGACATAGCCACTGGCCTTCTTCCAGTGCCATGCAGGTGGGAGCTGCTCACCAATCAAGGTACAGTAATCCATGAGAGGTAATAAGGTACCTGATGTCTTAATGCAAGATCTTTACAGAGCCTTCTCCTGCAGGAGGGCAGAGCTTGCCTGTTCTTGTCTAGCTCTTTGTCTGGACAAGGCAATCTGTTACATCATGAGGGCAGAGGACCTAACTCAACTGAATTAAAATTCAGAAATGTTCCCACTACCAGAAACCTGTAGCAACTCCACCTCTTTTGACAGTGCCAAATACACGTAAAAAGAGCTCCTGCAGACAGCTTCTCGTGCTGAAACAAAATTAGTCTAGGTGACCTTTTAAGTCCCATCTGACATAAGTAGCCTTCTTCCTACTACCACGGAAATCGTAAGAGAAATTTTATTAAGTCTTCTCAGCTGCAGGAAATTCAAATCAAAATGGAAAGCAATAACCAAAGTCTTTGCCATGTTGACTCTATTAAAAAACATTCTGACAAATGCACTCTAAACTATATGAGTTTCCTACAGACACTCAATCCAACTGCAAATAGAGGCAAAGCATGTCCACTGACCTTGGTTAAACAAAGAAAGGCCACACAATTGCAGGAGATGTTTCCAGTTATCCTATCCCTTTGCTCATGTTCCCCATCAAATACCAGACCTCTAGCAAATTTTTTTACCAAGACTTGATATTTGTGATGGTTTTTATTCTGCATACCTCTAAGAACTGCAAAAGATTGGTGGGCTGTAACAGTAGCTGACACGCAGATTTGAATTGCATTCTTATTTGGGGAAAAGGATTGATTACAGGAATGCAGATAGTGAAGACAAAATCTCAACAAGGTGTTGCCAGACTGCCTCTCTGTGCCTCTATGGTTAGCTGGAGCACTCTGAATAAAGATACTATTAGAGAATGTAACAGTGACATTCACTGCACAATTTATACAAGTTAACATCTATAGATGACACAAGATAACGAAAATATTTTGTTTGACTAGCAGCCATAATTGCATTTACTGTGTTCAAAAGTTCATGCTAGACCAATCTGTGTATTTTATCAGCATCAGCATAGCTGCAAGTCAGATCAACAATAGTTTACATCATAGCCTGGACACAGAAACAGACTATGGAACAATAGCACCAAGCATGTGTTTGCTTGGCGTAGACATGACTTTCAAAGGTAATTCCCTCTG